CTATCGTTACTAGACAGGATATCAGTTATAAAAACCAATATACTCCCAAGGATGATGTACCTCTTCCAGAACATCCCAATAATCAGGAAGGGCCAAATATATAAAGATTGGAACAGAGACCTAGCCAAATTCATCTGGAACGACAGAAAACCAAGGATCAGTCATACTAACTTGATAGACGAAAGAAAAAGAGGAGGCCTGGGACTGCCCGATCTGGGTCTATACATGGAGGCCAGTGGCCTAGAATGGCTGAGGGAATGGATAACACTGAACAACAAAAGACTACTAACATTAGAGGGACATGAACTGAGAACAGGTTGGCATGGATACCTGTGGTATGGGAAGAAAGCTGTAGAAAAGAACTTCGGAAATCACATCGTCCGCTCAGCCCTGCTGAGACTCTGGAACAAATACAAACAGAGGATCCACAGCAAAACCCCTCAATGGGTATCCGCCATGGAGGCCTGCCACAGACGCGAGTTAGGCTGGAGGGAATGGCCAACCTATAGGGACCTCCTGAAGAGAGAGCAAGGAGTAGCGAAACTAAAACCACATGAAGAACTAAGATCAAACTTCCCGAACATATCATGGCTACACTATCTTCAAATAAAAGAACATTTCAAAAAAGATTCAAATCTAGGTTTTGAAGAAAATGCATCCCCATGGCAAAAAATTTACGAAGGTAAAAAGAAAGTAATAACAACAATATACAAACAGTTATTGATATGGAACACAGAGAGAGAGCAGATAAAAAACTGCATGATAAGATGGGCCAGAGACCTAAAAAGATCTGTCCACATAGAAGAGTGGGAAGCATTATGGACCAAAAAATTAAACTTTATGTATGCATACGATTTCAAGGAAAACATAATGAAGATGTTCCACCAGTGGCATATGACTCCGGACAAAATCGCAAAGTTTAGCAGAAATAGTAGTGACAGATGCTGGAAATGCGGGAAGCACAAGGGAACCTTCATACACACATGGTGGCACTGTAAGACAGCAAAGGCTTTCTGGAAGGAAATCCACACCATGTGCCAGAAAGTACTGACAAAAAAGCCCCCCTTCAAACCAGAAAATTATCTGCTGAGCTTCACAGGAGATCAGTGGAGTGTGAATGAGGAAAAAATCTTTGTGTACATTACTGCGGCAGCTCGATTGAGCTATGCAAGAGTATGGAAACAGAAAACAAGACCCTCCAAAGGCGACTGGACAAAGAAACTATTTGACACAATGAACATGGACAAATTAACATTCCTACTAGCCAAAGAACAGAACAAACAAAGAAATATGACGGACTGGTCAGCAGTAAAGACATGGATGAAAGAAAACAAAGTAAATGTACTAATTTAAAAGAAACAAAAGCAGAACAACAGCAAAAGACTCAAAAACATATCCCTCGAAGAAACCTCAAAGAGACAACACGGAATTTGAAGGAAGAAAAATAAGAGTACAGAAAACCCCACACAGAAGAGCAACGGAAGAAGCTTCCCCTTCCCCCCCTCCTACCCCTCACCTATACCCCTCTACCCCTTCCCCCCACCAAACCCAACCCCCCCACCCCCTCCCCCCCAGTTCCCCTAAATCATACCTTCCCCCTTTTCCCTGGTTTTATCAACATTGTTTATATGGAAAATTTTGCAAATAAAAATTTATTTAAAAAAAATGGCCGTGACAATGTCCATGATGAGGACCGCTCCGGTCGCCCTTATTTGATTACAGACGATTTGGTGGCTTCAGTTGAAGCGAGGATTCGTGAAGAGGGTATTCTAAAATTGGTACAGAGGTATGTTAAGTGTTTGAACTGTTGTGGTTCAGCAACAGCATGATGGGACTGAGAGTGCAAGTGGGCATGATGGGAATGGGAATACAGATGCAGGTGTGGGATTTCAGATTTCTCAGTTTTCTCAGCCACAGTCTGTAGCTGGAGAGAAACCCTTGTTCTCATGGGAACGGAATGTGGCTGATAACACACTCGGTGAAGGTCAGAGTGAGCCGCAGGTGTTAAGGAGAAGTTTACGGATTGCGGCCAAATCTTGAGGCCATCTGCTGGTGGGAAAACTGCTCGTTAGCTGTTCTGTTTAATGTTCATGTTTTGATGTTTTACCTATAAGTAAGCTGCTTGGGAGCTGATTCAGTGTCAGTTTCAACTTCGCAATATGGATCGCTGTGCCTTCGGCTCCAGGGCTTGGGCCTTGGGGATTGCCTGCTTTTTGTAACCTCATGCTATTTCCTGGATTTTATCCTGTTTCTTTGCCTCAAGTTTCCTGCTTTGATTCAAGAGAACTTATTGGACCTTTACTTTGTACTATTGAACTTTTTACTGCTTTTACTTGGATTTGTTTGAAACCTCAATAAACTTCTTTCTTCTCAAGTTTGGCTGGTTTGTCAGAGAGCAAGGTGAAACTTAACCTGAGATGCAACAGTTTGAACAAACTTGGCAACTATGTCGAAAAATAGAGTGAAGTATGTACTTTCTGAAAATAAATTTACTTTTTTGAAATAAACTTTCGTTGTGTACTTATGTTCAAACAGACCTTACTTAAAAAATACCCGTATTTCGGCATGGCACCCAGTGTGCCAATTACCACTGGGACCACCACCACCACCATTATTATTAGTAGTAGTATTAGTATTATTATTATTATTAGTAGTAGTAGTATTTGAAACTCAAAAAGATGAGTCCACAGCAGACACTCTGCTGGCTGTTGAACTGGATCACACGTCGGACACTAGGACTGTGTGATGTATCGGCGAATAATGTGTGCAGATCCCAGTAAGGTGGCCTTCTGCAGCTGACAGATGGTAATTTTGTCAGCGCCAATTGTGTTTAAGTGCAGGCCAAGGTCTTTAGGCACTGCACCCAGTGTGCCGATTACCACTGGGACCACCTTTACTGGTTTGTGACAGAGTCTTTGCAGTTTGATTTTTAAATCCTCATAGTGTGTCAGCTTTTCCAGTTGTATCTCTGCAATCCTACTGTCACCTGGGATTGCGACATCGACAATCCATACTTTGCTTTTTAACATGATTTTGAGGTCAGGAGTATTAAGCTCCAAAACTGTTGTCTGTCTGAATCCGGAAGTCCCAGAGGAGTTTGACGTGTTCATTCTCTGTAACTTTTTCTGGCTTGTGATCCCACCAGTTCTTTGTTGCAGGCAGATGGTATTTGTAGCACAAGTTCCAATGAATCATCTGAGCAACAGTTTTATACCTCTGCTTGTAGTCTGTCTGCGCGATCTTCTTGCAGCAGCTGAGGATGTGATCTATTGTTTCATCTGCTTCCTTGCAGAGTCTACATTTGGGATCTGTTGTCGACTTATTATTATTATTATTATTATTAGACTTATTATTAGACTTATTATTATTATTGATTCTGTAGGTTTGTTCTTAAGTTGGATTTGTATGTAAGTCGGAACAGGCACATTTTTAAGTGTAACTTCAGCCATATATGTGTGTGTGTGTGTGTATGGATGCTTTAGATAGCATAGGGAAGGGTTAACATCCCTGAGTTGTTTGTTTTGCCATCTGTATCCCTGTTAGGAAGATTTCGCCTCACTTTCTTTCCCTGTGAGAATTAGATTTTGGAAAAATGTGATTATTGTGGAAACAAGGAATGGTGATAAAGTTCCATCAGATACACATTTTCCCCATGATAACTCTTCCAGGAATGAATTTCCCTTCCGAGGAGTAGATTTCTCTCACGTCCTGTTGTCTCACCCCCGGTTTTAACTATGAGTCATTTATAATTTGAATGTTTGTACTGTGTGGACTGTCTGTATATCTATTAGGTATAGGCCTAAGCCTTGCCTTTACAGTCCTATATTGTGGGGTATATGTAAAGAAATATAGTTACAAGTATAAAAAAAGTATGAAAGAAAAGAACATTAATACCATTATTCCTTCTATCTGTGACTCTGCTGCTCCATGCTCTTTGGAAACTGTAATATCACGTGAAGCTGGGTTAGGGGGATGTGGGGCTCTTTCTTTATCTGGTGTTCTTAGGTAATATCCTGCATTATAGGATATAATAAAGAACAGCATGGTATTAGTGTTAGATGCCAACCTCAAATAAATAACAAGAGGAAAATGTTTCCTCCCCACTGCACCACAAAATCAAATGTGATAAGATTAAAGCCAGTGGCATTGCTAAGAGAACATGGGGACTTACAGCAGGTGCTATGCACATCATAATGATATCTCTCTCTAATTCCATCTACAACAATCTTCTACACAGTTGTGTTGTCTTGGATAGCAACTTAGAATAGAGAGGGCAAGTACATGTGTTGCTTGAAATACTTCAACCTTTAGTGTGGGATTACAAGAGCATTCATTCCCATTGTAGAAAAGCAGTGGGGCTTCCCTCCTTGGCACTGCTGCAGCTGGCTAACAGGTAATATCAAACTGAGGATCATTTTGGGCAGTGATGTGTGCGTGAAAGCATTCTGAGTGTGCTATTTCAAGGTTATAATTCTCTTGGAATGCAATATTATTTAGCCTTTACTGTACTGTATTGACTTTAGAGTGTTTAAGTATCCATGTACATTATTATGATTATTCGAATTACAATTTCTGTGCTATTACCTTTCTCATCCCCCACCCACCCCAATAATGTCTATGGGGATTGTAACTCCCCTTTCTGGGTACATTTCTATTCAGGCTTAAAGGTTTAATTCCATGTACTTATTTAGGTTACAATCCTGTATGGATTTATCTGGGAATAAATCCCACTCAACTCAGTGGAGCTTAGTTCTCAATTCAGATATTGGATTGTACTTTGAGTTATTTGGCTTGCATTTTATATTCCTAATGAAGAAAATGTTCAGGGAGAGATAGCTAAAAACAATCAATGTAACAAAATGCAATTCACTTGTGATCACAATACTCAGGTTAGATTTCTGTAAAATGATGTTCCACTGCAACAACAAATGATTTTCCTGTATGTATTTTTAGTGATACTGAGTATCAGTTAAATTATATTATTCTGTTATTGAATATAGACTGATCCCCAAATGGTGGTTCTTGTGTCAGCAACTATGGAAAATATGAAGAAGAGCATTCCCAAAAGAAACCAAGATGTGATACCAGCCTCTGCTTGCTTCCCATTTCCTAATATGTGGGTGATCACAAAGGTACTACTGCAAAAAGGAACAACATTAATTTGAAAAATGTATTCATGAACTCATGTATGCGATATGAAGCAGTAGTTTATTCCTCTATTTTGTTGTGTTTATTTCATTTATACCTTAATTTCCTATAAAGTTTAACCCAAGGCAGCTCACATGGTAAGTTAAGATCATATACAAAAGTGTTAAGTGTCAAAAATGGATGATATAAATGTGTTTTTTTAAAAGTGGTATTAAAATATTAATGTAATAACATGGTTAAAAGGCAGATACAATGTAACAATGATGAAACATATAACCTACTCCAATTAAAAGAACTTTGCAATGGCCAGTTACCAGACAATGGCCTGCGTAAATTTAAAGATCTTTACCTGCTGGCAGAAAGAGAACATGGAAAAGAGACCTATTGTCCAATGGGAAAAATTCAAGAGCCCAGGGCACTTCAAAGGCTTTCTCCCTTGTTTCCATAAGCTTTACCTGCAGGAGTGATGGAACTGTGAAAAAGCCCTCCTTTGAGGATCTCAAAACAAGCAGGGAGCTATAAAGTTGTGGTCTTCAGGAACAATGGTATCTTCTGCCTTAGTCATTTCTCTGCTGCAGAAGTCACCCAAAGCTTTGACATCATCACCAATCATGGCAACAGAAAACTCAAGGAGCCACCTGGATCCATAAGCCTCCTGTGGTCCTGCATTCCCTCGTTATCTTGGGATTTTTTTTGGCAAGAATTGTTCACAAAGTATTTTGTCATGGTCTTCCTCTGATGCTGGGATAGTGAGTGTCTGACTCAAGGTCACTCAGTGGGTTTCCATGACTTAGCAGGAATTTGAACCCTGGTCTCTAGATTCCAAAACTCAAACCACTGCACCATGCTAGATCTCATTTTCAGCTACAGTAATTTTATATTATAGTTGTTTTAGTTGTTAATTTGTTTGGTTGGGTTTTTTTGTAATAATAATTTACATGTTCAATATAATGTTCCTACAGTTAGTTACAACCTAATAAAAGTTGATTGCAAAGCAGTATGTTCATTTGAAAGCAAATGCTTGCTGAGTTTGATGGAACACAAATAGGCAAAGCCAAAAACAATTTACAGTATATTCTGGCATATAAGACTACTTTTTAACCCAAGAAAATCTTCTAAAAAGTCAGGGGTCGTCTTGTACGTGGGTGTAGTCTTATGCATGGGAGTTGTCTTAACTCTATATTTTAACTGGAAAAGTTGGGGGTCATCTTATATGCCCAGTTGTCTTATATGCTGGAATATACGGTAATCTTTTTATTGAGTCATGTCCACTGCTCTATTTGAGGATGAAGTTGGCATTGCCTTAATAATATGGTTGCCATTGTTTTTGAGTTGTGTCCTGTCAGCTAACCACATAGAAATAATTTGAACGTGAATGGTCCACAGATGTAGAATAAATCCTGGTTTTTGAGTATGTGTATTGCAAAAGAAGGGCAAAGACTGCTATAGTGGTTTCGAAGGCAAGCAACGAACAAGAATTAAAATTAGATGCTAATGCCATGCTACTTCATTGTAGTGTACTTCCAATGAAGAACGCTTAAACCTGATGTTATTTATTATTATTGTTATTTACAACATTTCTATCCCACCTTTCTCAACCCCAGAGGGGATTCAAGGTAGCTGTACAAATAGGCAACTATTCAATGCCTTAAAACAATGTACATTTAAAATAAACATTTTAAAATAGAATTATAAAATGCATTTGAACATTTAAAAACATTTTAAACAATAGCTTCACCATTAACCACACTAATGGTTGTGCTTGCTAGGGTGGCGAATTAATATAAATACAGTTCATTGGGTTGTAAATGGGAGAAGGTGGGATATTTGAACTGCTTGTTTATTAGAAATGGTGAGATCAGATATAAATTGTGAGCAGGAACCATGGTTAATATGTATAAATAATTTAATTTATCTGTCTGGTTTTTAATAGCCAATATGAACTGAAACCTAGTCAAGGCCATTGCTACTCGGAAGTAAGCCCTATTGCTTCTAAAGAGCCTTGGTGTCTGGTAAAAATGTTTAGAATTTCACCCTTAATATTTGAAAGAGAAAAAAGAGGCAATGGCAAGATTGCACTTATAACAACCCTCTTAAAGCTATAGATTTGCTATGGAGTTGCTGTTTCTAAAACAAAAGGCTTTAAAGATCTTTAACCACAATTTTTTCAGACTTGAGGTAAAACTTTAAATTGACTCAATGGCGATAGATTTGTTGCAATCTTTGCAGTTCACTGAACTTTTTTCCCTGTGCATACATATTTCAAGTAAACTCTGTAGTTATAAGTATGGCAAGTGACACGTTATGGACCCTAAATCGTTGCACTGTGAAATATGCAGAGGAAAAGGACAAATGAAGATATCAAGGGTCTGTTCTATTTTGCACTGAACTGTAAAATGCCACCCTTGTTGTACAGAAGATCACTGATTCTGAGCAGGGCTCATTGACTGCTAAGTTGTGGATAGCGTTTCAGTTTCTCCAACTGTTAATATCCTGAGTTATCCAGGCATAATGACCTCTCTATTTGTAACACATTGTTGAATTTTCTGGTTCTTTTAACTTATTCAAACCCTTTCTCCCCATTCATTGAAAGACTGGAATGATTCTAAGTCGAGCTATAGTGCAAAGCTGTCTGGCTGTTGGTCATCCATTCAGAGCTATGACGCAGGATGGCATACCTCTTGAAGGCTATAAATTAAACCTACAGAAAAGGTATTGATTTTTTAAAATAAAAGTTACTTCAAGTATTATCAAAAGGTGTCTTTACACATTGTGTAATTTAGTGCTTAAGAATGTATAATATCTCATTTATCCTGCCATTTCTTTTGGAATAATGAATTTCTCCCAGATTTTCCCTTCTTGACTTACTTTAATTGTACTGTGAATATTCTTTCTGAAACAGCCTGTAGAAAAAAAAGGAGAAGGAGGAAGGTGATATTTATGTTTACTATACATTAGGATAGTGACATTTTCAGTCTCTTCCCTTTAAAAGAAAATAATCTATGCTATGTTATGTATGGATCTGGAATGGAGTGTGACAACTCAGGCTGGATCTACGCTGCCCGATATCCCAGGATCTAATCCCAGATTAACAGTTTATGGCAGTGTAGACTCATATAATCCAGTTCAAAGTAGATAATCTGGGATCAGATCCTTGGATATAGGGCAGTGTAGATCCAGTATCAGGAGCCCCCGGTGGCGCAGTGTGTTAAAGCACTGAGCTGCTGAGCTTGTTGATCGAAAGGTCGCAGGTTCGATTCCGGGGAGCACCATGAGCTTCCGCTGTCAGCCCTAGCTTCTGCCAACCTAGCAGTTTGAAAACATGCAAATGTGAGTAGATCAATAGGTACTGCTCCGGCGGGAAGGTAACGGCGCTCCATGCAGTCATGCTGGCCACATGACCTTGGAGGTGTCTACGGACAACGCTGGCTCTTTGGCTTAGAAATGGAGATGAGCACCACACCCCAGAGTCAGACATGACTGGACTTAATGTCAGGGGACTACCTTTACCTTTATCTAGATCCAGTATCAGGGATTTATCACTGGGCTTTCAACCCTAGATAGATTTTAAAGGTGTGCTTGGTGCTTGGGAACAGACCCATAATTGGTACCATGGGTACTCTTGAAAAATTGACTAAGTAGGTCCTTATTAATCTTTCCCATAGTATTTCTGAGCAACATTTAATGGTAGCTCTCTCTATAATTTGATACTGGACGGTCTTAGAACATGCTGTCTTTGTCTGAAAGAGGTCACAGCCCACATACCAGCCTTAGTCAAAGCTGTTTTATGTTACTTGGGCCTCTGCTGAAACAGATGGATCTAAGAGCACTGACATACTGCAGATTTGATCTCTAGAGGGGTGCAACCACGTGTGAAACATGATAAACTCTGGCTCTGAAGACAAATGAAGTGCCCACTAGTCTTTTTAAGAGTGAGCTTTTACTGAAATTTTGTGCATGTATATTCAGAGGTAAGCCTTACTGTTTGCAATCAAAATGCTGTATGGTACTTATCACTTCAAAAATCACAGCACTTATATAAGCAACACCTGTGTTAATTCTGTCTTAAAGATTGAATGGATTAAAATCCAGAATCAATCTACAATCCTATTAAGAGCTATATTTATGGCAGAGGGCTGCCAGAGGGGAGACAGCAGTAATGGACATCTTGTTCGTGACACAACCAAACCCAGCATTTGGATGAGAATTTCTGTTAAACTTAGCAATCTGTCCTGGTATTGGGGAGGATGGGCTATAGTTGTAGAAAGACGTATTGGATACCTTATTCCGCAAATCTGGACAAAGTAAAATTAGTAGTGCAAAACCTATTTGTTAAAAAATAGTTCCTCATGTAAGATCCTGACCTTTATATTTTAAGGGTACCTTGTAGCTCTCTAAAGCTGAAACTACTGCCTGATATATTTGAAGCTTATGGTAACATCAAAAGCATATCCCAATCCTTTGAAAATCTCCATAAATTTAACTTGTAAGAATATTTAACATGCTATCAATATTTGGTCTTTTATTTGAAATGAAATGAAAATGTTATGAACTAAATTTTGGGACAGAAATAAACTAGAATTTTGAAGATATATTGCCAGCTTGTAAAATATTGGTGATTTCCAAGATATTTTCAGTGGAAAGCCATTATTTGTATTAAGCTGTTTAATACGAGATGCTTCTTAGTAGGATTATAAATTGATATTGTCCTGGCTTATTGTCCCCATCATACTTTAATATTCCATCAGAAGAATGATTGCACAACATGTTATTTAATAGATGCCTGGGATATTTTTAAATAATGACTATGTAGATAAAATTGCAAATAACCTATAGGGCATTATGCAGTGTCTAAGAATGTGGCAGATGATAAGTTTGTAGTGATTATAGGCAAATTGCTAAAGCCTAAACATCCCTGGCAGTGGGAGATATTCCAAACTTGTAACACAATTCATACTTGTAACACTATTCAAAGCTCTACATTTCTGAAAAAGTCTTTTCTATTTTATGTAATAAGGATACTCGGGTATTTAATAATTGTTTCAAAACATTTTGGTCATTAGGTCATTTTTGTTTTAGCTGTCAACATTTCAAAACCATTGTGACTGCAAATATTAGGCCAATAATTCAAAAGCTTTATTTTTCCAGTGTTTCTCTTTGCAAAATCATGGATTAACCCATGGAAATACATTTGTTTAGATAGATTGGCTAAGGCATACCTATCCTTGCCCAATTTTTAATAGTAGTTGTTTTTGATGAGTAACAACTTGTGGAAAATTCTGCTTCTACAGTCACTGGCAGTGTGCAGAAGCTCCATGAAGATATAAAGTTACTCTCCTCTTCAGCCCACCATCCACATATTCTGTATCCATGGATTCTACCATTAGTGGCTTGAAAATATTACAAAAATATCCAGAAAACAAACTTTGCTATTTTATATATGGTACACTATTGCATAAAATGGAACTTGAACATCAATGGATTTTGGTATCCATGGGAAGTCATGGAACCAAAACTCAGCAGATACCAAAGGTCCGTTGGACATACTTCACAGAAAATTAGTTGCTATTGCTTCTTGGAAATCTTATTTAGCATTTATTTCCTCTTTAGGTGACATTGTCTAAAGTTACACCAAAACCATAAATATGAGTGGATTACACACTCAAAATATTTATATCCTATAAAAGAAGAAGGAACTTTTCATTTCTCCATGGCATAAGTGGTTTGATTTGCCCTTCAACTAGACTACTCTTGTTCCTATCCATGAACAAGGAACTGTAGATATTATGGTTCTTGATATGACTGCTGTTGTTATATGGCATCAAGTCAACTCCCAATTTATGGGAGTCCCATTGAAAGGCCATCTTGGCAAGATTTATTCCTTAGAGATTGGTCATTGTCTTCCTCTAAGACTGAGAAATTATGACTTGCCAAATGTCTGAGCTGGTCTACCAGAGTCCAAATCCAAAACTCAAATCACATCATGCTGGTCCTCTTAATATAATAGACCATGTCAAAAAAAAAAACTTCATTGTTCACTCTCGCAAAATCCTAGCTGCACAAACTACACAAAAACCAACACATTTTTAAAATTCTTCAATTAAAACTGCAATCAGGAAGCCTAGATAGACAGCAAATCTCATTGCATCTAGACAATAAACACAAGGAAATAGGTTTTGGTTAATATCTTTGGACATGATGTACAAATTATCCCATTTTTTCCCCTTGTAGCACTGTGGGCTACAGGTTGAATTCTACTTCTCTTGGCTTCTGTGCTTCTGTGGACATATCCTCTGCAAATATATCCATGGGGAATCAGAGGAGAAGGAAAAAAGTTGGACTTTATTCCATGACCTAACATACAGGCATGAGCTGAAAACTTATGTGGAAGAAAACATAATGATGTGGGATTAATAGAGAAACTTCCCATCACTTTCTCCAACATGCTCAATTTCCTTGAATCCCTGAAACATCTATCTAGGTGATATAAGAAATTCACTTAAGTGGGCAGACCCACTGTGTCTACACACTGCTTTGATTGCAAAGGACGTCTTTGATCACTCCAGTTCCCTTGCACCATTTTAGTCTTTTCAGGACAATTCCCTGATATTCCAAAGAGGCTATTACAAGATGAGGAGAGTGGAAGTGATAGAAAAGATGCTTCATTGAATGAATTTTGTTTTGCTCAGGTTACTTAGGATCGAAGCCATGCTCTGTTGTCTTCTGACTGTGCTGCCTGTGAGTTGGATTGCCACACACTAATCAAAGGATTAGCCAGAGGTGAAATATCACTAGGATATGTTATTTAAGATTTTCCTGGAGGTTGCACAATTAAATTGATACTCACCTTAACTTTTTCAGCTGTCTTCTTGTGTCATCCATCTGAAGCATATGACATACACTAATATTGCGATCTAACCCAAGTTGCCAGTAGATGATTTTGTGTAAATGCTCTCACTTCTTGAAGGGCATTCTATAGAAGGCTATCCCTCACATACTACTGCCATGTGTTCAAGATATCTTTTTCAAAACTAATAAAAATCCATTTGGAAGATTTATTTTCATATGAACCTTGATTGTACAAATTGGTGTTTAGTTATGTAAATATGTGCTTAGCAAATCTGTGTGTATATAGAGAACAGGCATGAGATGTTCACCTGAAGGTTTTTCAAATCAAGACTGCTAGAAATAATTGAAACAAAATTACCAATGAAAACACTATCAGTTTTCTTACAGTGAACTAGTTATGAAGGAGAGATAGTCAATGTTGAATTGTGATTTAGGGCACATCCAGACGGCCCTTTAAAAGTGAGAGCTCCCGTATTTTCAAGTGGGGCATCCAAACAGCCCCATGTAAAAACAAATTCATTCGCAACAAAGTGAATATATATATATTCAAAAAAAAAAACAAAAACCCAAACCTTGATTTGCCACTTCATATAGGAATATATGGAATCAACACCATTGTATATAATGGGACTTAAGCATCATATATTTTTGTATCTAGAGGATATTGAGGGCCCATGGTATATGGTTTGAACCTAACTGTATATTCAAACCTTTAGCATAGAATAATGGGGTGTTGATGTCCATGAGGCTGCACTTTCCTACTACTCTAACAAATACTATCTAAAATTTGGGTGAAATTGTTGTAAGAGATTCCTGCGTCTTCTTTGGAGGTAGGAACAGGATGTTTGAAGTTTTCGGTGTCCAAAAATATTTGCTTGTCTGATGATATAAAATTTTGATATGTTTCACTTTAAGATGGATGTGAGAGGTCAGGCTTTAAAGTACGTATACAAACAGTTTTCATTTTGATGCAAAGAGAACCAAATCTTAGAGTTGCCTGATAGTAAGCTCAACTGAGCAAATGAGCATTTGAAAAATATATAACATGCAAATGATTGTGCTGTAAATTGTGTGATAAATAGAATATATGTGTGTTTAAAAATACTATCACTTGAGTAATTTTTCTCTTACAGAAACAAAAATAATATCTATCAGTACTGGGAGTTTCAAAATAATGGCTCAATTCATTCAAAGGTATGTGTGATTCATAGGTATTTTAAGCACTACTTCGATGTATTAGTTCCCCATCAGAATTCTTTGTATATGTATATCTTCAATTGGACAGTGCATAGTAGTCTAGCAGAAAATGATATCACAGAGATCAGTGGTTGTACTCCAGAATCTCTACCTCATTTTTAATGCTTCCTCACACTTGCAAAGATGGGGATACCAAGGAACATCATTGGGGAGAGTCCCAAAATTTTGGCTCTGTGTATTATGTAACTTGATTTATAATATGTGGATAAAATGGCTTATTCTCTAGAGTGATTTTATTTTGTTTTAAATTACTGTATGTTATTCATTTCCTGACTATCCCTGAGGCAAATCCCAGCCTTGGATGGACAACTTCTTTCTAGAATATTTTCTAAAAGTCAGATCCTTTTGTGTTTTGCTTATAGTTTGTGGTTGAAATTACTTCCCTGAGTTGGTTGTTCTGTGTTTGCTTTATTTCTTGCTTTGAACTTGGATCACAGATCTTTTTTTGTAAGGTTGATTCATGTAGCTCAAGTATCATGTGTATCATACTGGCTGTCAGCAAATGACCAATGATTAGGAATGAAGAGAGCTGTTCAATGTATTGTCGAAGGCTTTCATGGCCAGAATAACTGGGTTCTTATAGGTTTTTTCGGGCTATATGGCCATGTTCTAGAGGCATTCTCTCCTGACATTTTGCCTGCATCTATGGCAAGCATCCTCAGAGGTAGTGAGGTCTGTTGGAACTAGGAAAATGGGTTTTTATATCTGTGGAATGTCCAGGATGGGACAAAGAACTCTTGTCTGCTAGAGCTCTTGTTCAGCAACATCTGGACAGCATCATAATTGGTTTGGTGCAGCCAAAACCTTGCCCTATCATTTTGGCATTTGCAGTGCCCACTCGGCATGGAAATGAACCTGGTCATCATTTGGTACCTGTAATTATGATAGCTAGAGCAGGGAAGTGAGAAAGGAGGAATCACTTCTCACTTTCCCCCCTCCCTTTCAATCACCTTGTTGCTGTAGATATTGTCATTAAGGGGACTGGGCACTGACCAGGGTCATTTTCATATCTGGTGGTCACTGCAAACATGGCAAGGTAGATGCTGTCTCCTGTCCAAGGCTACCTGATCCTGAAGAAATTGGGGTGGTGGTGTAAACAGCTGCAGCCACTTCCTGAATAGGAAGCTGCACAACTGTTTACACTGGCCTGAAGTAGCAGTTTACTCTGGATTTGGGGGTAAGCTCTGGAGTATCCCATGACTTCTGTTAACACAGTTCATGGCTCCATCTATGACTTTCCCACATAACTCTCACTTTGGAATCAGAGGATAATGGATACAGGCCCTATATGTGATGTTCCCATTTATAACAGTGAATAAAGCCACATTATCTTTAAGAAATTCACACCTGGTGTTTCATTTATTTTTAATGCATCTGTTACTTATTATGGTCTATATATGTTTATTATAGTGAGCTGAAGAGTTTTAAAACTAGTCTAAATGAAAAAAGGTTTATGAACTATAAAGTCATGTATAAGTAATCTAACTTTTTATGACATTGCCCAACATCAACAGCCTTTTCTCCCATGATTCCTGAACTGTAGATGGTCATACTTCTACTGATTACACTCTGGTAATGTTACTCTGCCTTTGTCCTTTCCTCCAGGCTTACCCTGAGTTTGTCCTGACCTACCTAGAGGAGCTAAATGTAAGAGAGGAGGTGACCCAGACGGAATACTGCACACACCATGGGGCCGAGTCTGCAGTTCATCAGGAGACAGATAGCAACGCAGCAGAAGAGGTCATGGTATCAAGCCAGAGGCAGGTCAGAATCATTTTTTTAGAAAGGGGAAAATATTTTCAAGAGAGATGCAGCTCCTTTGCACAATTTGAATATAATTCCTTAAATAAAAAAAATCAACTTAACTAATAACTAAATAAACAAGATCAGAACAAATAGGAAAGAGCAAAAACACAAGTTTCCCTTTTAAAAGTCCTTTTCCCCAAGAAATAATGCAACTTGTAAAATTCAATACCACATGAAACAGTTTTATTTAAAATACTTATTCTGATAATGACACTATATTAATCCCATGCTTGTTGCTAATTTCCTAGGATCTACAAATTAATGTCGGGAACTGCAATAAGAAGCAACTTTCAGGACCTTTGGACGCCCACTTAATGCCCGAAGGTCCCTCGGAGGGCAATAGGCAGCTGACAGTGGCACTGGTGAGGAAACTAGAAGAGAAACATCCTAAGGCCTCAGCTCAAAGGTAAGCTACTGACAGAACTGATATTTATTGTTCAATGACATTAGATGTTTTCCTTCAGTTTCGTGTAAGATTGATTTCCTGGATATTATTGAAATATCTCAGAAGCCCTCTGGGCTTGCAAGGAGACATGGAGTTTTGACCAAAACTAATGAAAAGGGATGACATTTAGATTTATCACTGAGAACGGTTGTAATATTTACTATCAAACTATTATGCACAAATTATACAATAATAGGAAGATTACAGTGTATGACATTGTATGAGATTATCATTTATTATGTATTACTTGTGCTTATGAGACACTAGCCAAATGAATGCATACTACTGTTGGCAATTACCAGGTGCTGTACACAATGACAGGGTTTGATTTACTGAATATACATTTATAGGAGTACATCATTTATAATTTTGAGACAGTTTTGATCTAAAATATGTTTTAAAAGCTTCAGTAAATATTTAAAACTTTCCAGTGCACGTTTTAAAAATGTGTGCAACTTTTCATGTTTTAACTATGGAGGCCACTGGTGTCCAGTTAAATGAAAGCTACCATTTTGACAGTTACCATTCAGTAACACACTGAGTATTTATATGAATAAGAGAATAGGGATGCAAAAATACATTCAATTTCATTCCAATCTACCAGTATCACAAGGATTGAATGAAAAGTAATGCCTCCACCTTCGCAACTCCTCAAAGATGGCAGTACTGGTATGCAGCAGGTACTGGCTTGTTCAGTAGACTCTCCTCTACAGTTCCATTTTGGCGGGAAGCCTTAACATTGAACAGTTGTGTTATTAAACTGAGAAGTATGGAACCCTGTGCAGATGGTTGGTCAATGCGACTTAAGCAACGTTCTGTCATTGAATTTTTGACAGCAGAAGGTGTCATCCCAAAGGAGATTAATCAGAGAATGCAAGCTGTTTATGGTGATTGTGTTGATGTGAGTACTGTGCATTGTTGGGTGAGTAAGTTTAAAGATGCTGAAGTGGGAACATCTGACTTGTGTGACAAACAAAGAGTTGGACATCCTGTGACAGCAACCACCGAGTTTCACAAGCAAAAGGTTGACAGGTTGGTTCAGGATGACCGTCGTATCACTCAGAGAGAAATTTCAAGCATAATCGGCATTTCACAAGAACGTGTGGGTCATATTATTGGTTTGCTTGGCTATCAGAAGATCTGTGCACGATGGGTACCTAGGATTCTGACACCTGAAATGAAAACGCACAGACTTGAAATTTGCCAGGAATTCCTCTCGCGTTACGAGAATGAAAGTGACACCTTTCTCCATTCAATTGTGACAGAAGATGAAATGTGGGTGCACCATTACAACCCGTAGATGAAGCGTCAGTCTATGGAATATCAACAGAAAGACTCGCCCCAGAAAAAGAATTTCAAGACACAGCCCTCAACTGGAAAAATCATGGCAACAGTGTTCTGGGATGCAGATGGTGTTATCCATGCTGATTTCCTTGAACGTGGAACAACAATAAATTCAGAGTGTTACATCACAATGCTGCAAACTTTGAAATGACATCTAACAAGGGTCCAAAAGGAAATGTTTTCCTGCAGCATGACAATGCCAGACCACACACTTCACATGCCACCACAGCAGAGCTTCAGAGACTGGATCTCACCACCGTACGGCATCTTCCATACAGTCCAGATTTAGCACCATCTGACTTCCATCTGTTCCCAATAATGAAAGAAGATCTGCGGGGACATCATTATGCTTCTGATGAAGACATTGAGAGAACTATGAGACGCTGGTTGCGGAAACAGAGTGTCGACTTTTTCCGTGACGGCTTCAGAAAACTTGTTCATCGTTGGCAGAAATGTATCCTGTTGTCTGGTGATTATGTGGAAAAGTGAATAGTGGTAGTTAAAGAGCACATTCTAAGGATTATTTCTGTGTTTGATTTATTAAAATATTCCCATCCAAACCCAAGTAACGAAGTTGGAGGTGGTGGAGACATTACTTTTCTTAAAGCTTTTACATTCTTCAGAGGTTCTGGATATAGCAGTAGAATCATACAATCATAGAGTTGGAAGAGACTGCATGGACCATCTAGTCCAACCCCCTGTAATGCAGGAAAAGAACAGTATTTCAGGTAAGGTCCTGGCAAAGCAGAGTAGAGGGGTACCATGATGTCCCTTGATCTAGACACTGTACTCTTTTTGATGCAGCCCAAAACCCCATTTTTTTTAGATGCAGCATCACATGATTTGCTCATATACAACTTGTTGTCCGCAAAGACTCCAGGATCTTTTTCACATATACTGTATTTTTGCATCTCATTTTTTCTTCCTCAGTGTAGTATTTGTCCTTGTTGAAATGAAACGGCTTGACAATGTCTTTGGAAAAGGAGCTAATAGGAAGTTACTGGTGTTTTATGCTTTTAATGCTTTTTACAGGGTTTTTATAATGTGTGTTAAATGTTTTAAATTTTGTTTATGTTCACTGTGGCATTGAATCATGCCAGTGTAAGCCACCTTGAGTTGCCTTCAAGCTGAGAAAGATGGCATAGAAATGCGGCAAATAAATAAATAACTTTTGGCCCAACCGTAATCTGTTAAGGTTGTTTTGAATTCTGATCCTGTCCTCTGGAGTATTAACTATCCCTCCTAATTTGGTGTCACCTGTAAACTAGATAAGCATGCCCTCTAAACTTCCATGTAAGTCGATGGTTCTCAACCTGTGGGTCCCCAGATGTTTTGGCCTTCAACTCCCAGAAATCCTAACAGCTGGTAAAAGACTACCTTTACATTAATATTTTTTTAGCTTTCTTCCAAGAGCTTCTTTCTGATCTTTTGAAGGCTATGCCTTTCAATATCATTGGTTTCTACATGAACCAGCATGAAAGGGGGAGGATCCGTTGGTTTGATGAATCTTGTCAGCCGCTGAGTTGGTGGATTTTTGCCCCAATGGGGCAGCATACTTCTCAAGACATCCTGTCAGGTTAGCAAATCACCACTTCTGTTCCTTTCAGGAGGGAGTCACCTACTACCAACACCCATCTCCTTTGTGGATTGACAGGGTCTCTTTCCTGTAAGGTGCTCTGTAGGTCTTCTGAAACCAGTACTTTTCCGCATAATCCTCAGTACTTCATCTTGATTCTGGAAAGTGGCTCCTTTTGGTTAACAGAAAGAATATCAAAGCCAGAGTGGACACCAAGGGGAAGAGTTGTTTGTTTTTTTTTGTTAGGAGTTTGCAGGGACTTATGACTCACATAGGAACACATTTGAATTAAGTGGGTTATTTCCTTTGCAAAAGAGACTTAACATTATAGGAGGATATTTTGGATGTTGCTTATTGGTCCTTGACCCCAAATTTGGAGGAGAGAAAAAAACATAAAGCCTGCCTGGAGAAAGGAAAAGTTGAACATACTTCAAATGTCTATTCAGGCTTGCAGGGTTGGGAAATAGAGCAGTCCTTTCACACAGGTGAAAATAAAGAAGAAAGAAAGAAAAACTTGACAATCATTAGCGTATGCTTGAGTTGCAGTGAGTCTTACACTTACGTATATCTTTCCTTCCCAACACGACTTCAAGGCAGGTTTGAAAGTATTTACTTCCATGTAAGTCTAGGCAGAACCTTCTAGCTCAGGGGTCTTCAAACTTTTTAAACAGAGGGCCAGGTCACAATCCCTCAAACTGTTGGAGGGCCGGATTATAATTTGGAAAAAAACATGAATGAATTCCTATGCGCACCGCACAAATCTTATTTGTAGTACAAAAAACACTTTAAACAATACAATAATTAAAATAAAGAACAATTTTAACAAATATAAACGTATTAGTATTTCAATGGGAAGTGTGGACTTGCTTTTGGCTGATGAGATAGGATTGTTGTTGTTGTGTGTTTTCAAGTCATTTCAGGCTGAGCAAGGGCCGAGTAAATGACCTTGGAGGGCCGTATCCGGCCCCCGGGCCTTAGTTTGAGGACCCCTGTTCTAGCTTATGAAACCATTTTTTAAAGAAGAAACCATAGTTAAGATTAATCATGCTTTAGGACTTGAACATCTAAACATTGTTTAATCTGAACTTGAAGCAGAAGCTGTTAAAATCCTTCCAGTCGTGGTATATGAGAACAAAGGAACAGTATGAAAGAAAAACATTACCTCCTTAACACCTTGAACATGCTGTTGTTGTCTGATTTTGGAAGCTAAGTCAGATCCAAAGCTAAGTCAGATCCAAAGAATTCCAAATCCTGTATTCAGGAATAATTGCAGCTCAATAATAGACTACTTGCTTTGTCTAGGCTCAGGTTCAATCTAAAGAATCTCCAAGTAGGATTAGGAAAGAGCAGTACGCTCTGTTGTAGTGACTGCTGAAGAGGACTTTCCTTCCCCCATGACTCTAGAATTCATTAGAAAACCAGGACCGGTCAATCAAGGATCCAACTTTATTAGCAAAAGAAATGCATTTCGATCTCCCACACTGACAGAACAGAATATGAAGAGAATGTGAATACTGAGCGACAAGACTGTATATTCTAATTAGTTAGTCAAAGTTGACAAGTCATTATTGCTGGGGGGGAAATCTATGAAGGTAATGAATTTGGTTGATTTTGACTTCTAGTTATCAGTTTGTCATGTATAACCTCTTGTAAGATACGCAAACATTTTCCAGTCCTTGCTATATAACCTGCTAAGTCAGATCCAAAGCTAAGTCAGATCCAAAGAATTCCAAATCCTGTATTCAGGAATAATTGCAGCTCAATAATAGTCTCTTGGCATCATAGGAGGCAAAATATAACATGTAACCTTTGTTATTTCTGCTTGTTTTTTTCTAACAATTTCCCTATGACCAGATTAAGCAAATAGGAGAGATGCAAGCATTTTTGGGTTAACATATGTGCAGTCATGTTAACTTCCACCTCACTATGATGTTGTCATAATGGTGCTCTACAATCAACATTGTGCCATATACACTGACACTTCTGGCAAATGGTAGAAGATAAAACACCACTAAAAGATTCTCTTTGGTTGGTTAGTTGT